AGATCTAACATTGTGGACTGTCCTTTCAATGGTATGTACCGTAGATGGTTTATGACGGGAGTGAAAGATATCCCATTGTGGAATGATTTGATAACGGAGCTATTGCAACTGGGTCAAGAAGCAGTGCATGGGTGTACTGAGGGTATGAAGAGCGCACGTAATAGAATAAGATGTGTGAAGCGAAAACACCATCATTCCTACTAGATAGATCGAAAAGTTATTAAGCGTGGCAAACATTGACAGTGGAGAAAATAAATAGTTAATCGACCGACCCCTGGTCAGACGGCTCAAAGCGGCTAAACTTTTTCAAAAGGTGTTGAATGTTTGAGAAACGTATTGATTACCTCTATGGAATCAATTGATCAAGAAGAATATTATATTACCAAGGCAACAAAGGACAGCATTTGAAAAACAATAAATATATTGCCGTGGTAACAGAAGAAATCCAATAGGAACCATGGGCAACAACATGTCTGTCCTACTACCACGGCAAGGAAAAGGAACCATAGGAAGTGACAGGTACACAAGAACATGAAAATTTGTACTCCCATGCAGAGAGAGTGTTGGTATGTAAACGAATGCAGCAATGGTAAAGAAAGCCAAATGTGAATGTGAATAATTGCATTTTTTCAAAAGTGAAACTCAAGAGACCAAGAAAGAGTGGAGAAAGGTGAAAAGTTTATCGATAAAGTTTTTCAAATTATGTTCAATGTCGAAGATGTTGAATGTTTATTCACAAAAAACAGTGGAGAAAGATAAAGAGTTTATCGATAAAGTTTTTCAAATTATGTCCAATGTTGAAGATGTTGAATGTTGATTTGCAAGAAAGAGTGGAGAAAGCTAAATAGTTTATCGATAAAGTATTTCAAATTTCGTTCAATGTCGAAGATCTTGAATGTTGATTTGCAAGAGAGAGTGGAGAAACATAAATAGTTTATCTATACGGTTTTTCAAAAAATGTTGAATGTCCAAGATGTTGAATGTTGAAGATGTTGAATTTTGAAGATATTGAATTTTGAAGATGTTGAATGTTGAAGATGTTGAATGTTGAAGAATTTTTTTTTATCGATAAATAGAAAGTTGAATATGTTGATGTAGATGCGAAAACGTCAAAATTGATTTCTTCCATGTTCGAATTGAATATAACATTTTTGTTGTTTTTGTTATTTTTGAAAAAAGAAGATAACATGTATCTGCTGAACAGCGAAATGTTTTTGTAGCTAAAAACTGAAATCTTGTGAATGTGGTAAAGTAGTGACTCCCAATACATTGCATCAATTGATTAAAAAGAATAATATATTACCACGGTAACGAAAGGACAGCATCTGAAATGGATCCATGAGAAGCGACAATTACCATAACCCTGGTCAGGAAAAGGAACCACGGGGACGAAAGAATGAAAAGAATGTTTCGAATGATTGAACAGAATGCCAATCAATCAAAAACTAATGAAGTCGTGATAAAAAATTATATACTGTTGAGCTGTTGAATGTTTTGCCACCCGAATCGAACATTTATCCCCATTTTGCCATCTTTACATATCGGTTTCCATAACCAATTGGGACAATGGCTTTGAATAACCTTGGATGCAATATATTCCTGATATTTCCTTCAAATCTGTCTTTGAAGCATCCATATGATGTGGAATTATCTACCTACGGAGTAGGCAATAAAATATTTCCGATTAAAATATGACATGTGAACCCCATCAATATGTGTGTTTCTGTCTTTGTCATAACTCATTGAGTTCAGACACCTGGGTAAATTTTCCAAATTTGTGATTTGACAGCCTAATATACGTAGACCTATTAACGTATCAGGTAGGTTTTCTAATTTTGTTATTTGAGTGTCATCGCAATTAAAAAACTTCAGTGACGATGGGAGATTTTCTATTTTTGTGATTGGATTTCGAGCACAAGAAAGATTTTGCAAAGATTTGGGAAGATCCTCCAATTTGGAAATTGCATTGTTATCGCAACCAAGATATTCCAAAGATTCTGGGATTCATTGACAATATCCATTGTAATATTGGAATTCATACTCACATTTGGTAATCCCATGGCTTGTCTGGATTCGCATTGACAATGTCCATGGTAAAGTTCCGATTTGAACTCAAATAGTAATAATCCCATGGCTTGTCTAGATTATCCTTAACAATGTCAATTGTGATCTTAGGATTCATGCTCAATCCGCAGTAATCGCACGCCTTATCTGGAGTTGCATGAAAGATTTCCATTGTGATACAAGGGTTCTAGATCAATTGTTTCCGATCCCAGGACTTTTCTGGATTGTTTTCGATAATATCCATTGTGATATTTGGATTCATAGTCAACAAGTTATAATCCCAAGGCTTGTCTGGATTCTTTCTTAGAATATCCATTGTGATATTTGGATTCGCGCTCATATATTTAAAATTCCATGACTTGTCTTGATTCTCATTGACAATATCCATTGTAGTGTTTGGATTCATACTCAAACCGGAACAATCTCAAAGCTCTTCTGGATAGGCATCGTATATCAGTTACAATTCATTTTGCATGCTTGAAATCAAGGATTGAGAGAAAGATGTTTATGGGTGATTTGATTTCAAGAGTGGATGTTATATGTTGAAAGTATTTGACAAATGATGCAATTTGATTTTTCGATAAATGAGATTCTGAATGTTGAATGTTTGATGTTGGAATGTGACAAAAAAAATGTCGAAAATGTGATAACATTCGAAAAACAAAATTATCATTATTTTCAATCAACAAATTTATGAACAAAAATATCATCACGTCAATAAACATATTCGAAGTGCAAAAAAAACAAGAAGATTCACATGTAAATAAAAATGATTTAAAGTGAAATCTTCAATTAAAAGCTGACCTGTGGTTGTCCCACCTGCGAAGCTGATAGATGGGAAAATGAATCAGCATGTACTGCTGAATAGCGTAATGTTTTCGGAACAAAAAAATAAAATCTTCTGATCAGGGGATAACGTATTGGATCCCTCTATGGAATCAATTGATTAAAAATAATATTATATTACCACTGTAACAAAGGCCTGCATTTGAAAAACAATAAATATATTGCCGTGGTAACAGAAAAAATCGAAATGGAACCATGGCAAAGGATCTGTCTGTCCTATTACCAAGGCAAGGAAACGGAAGCATAGGAAGTGACAGGTCATATTACCACGGTAAGGAAACGGAACCATGGAAAAGAACATGACAATTTGTAATCCCATATAACAAGAGTGTTGGTAGGTAAATGAATGCAGTAATTGGCAAAGAAATTCGGATGTCGAAGATGTTGAATGTGAATAAATGCATTTTGTCAGTAGTGAAACTCAAGAGGTCAAGAAAGAGTGGAGAAATATAAATAGTTTATCCATAAAGTTTTTCGAATTATGTTCAACGTTGAAGATGTTGAATGTTGATTTGCAAGAAAGAATGGAGAAAGATAAATAGTTTATCGATAAAGTTTTTCAAAAAATGTTGAATATTGAAGATTTTGAATGTCTAAGATGTTGGATGTTGAAGATGTTGAACGTCGAAGATGTTTAATGTTGAAGATGTTGAATCTTGAATGTTGAAGATGTTGAATGTTGATTCGCAAGAAAGAGTGGAGAAAGATAAATAATTTATCAATAAGGTTTTTCAAAAAATGTTGAATGTAGAAGATGTTGAATGTTGCTTTACAAGAAAGTGTGGAGAAAATAAATAGTTTATCGATAAAGTTTTTTAAAAGATGTTGTATGCAGTAAATGTTGAATATTGATTCGCAAGAAAGAGTGAAGAAAGATCAAAAGTTTAGAATAGCTTAATAAATAAACATTCCCCATGATAATCAATCCATAGCAGTTAAATGTCTTTGCTTACATTATGCCATAATTGATCGACCATCCCATCTTGACCAAAACCAAACTCTTTTTTTAACATCCCTTTTTAACAATGAAGAGCATCTCCAAAAATTCCATTTCATCTTCTGACTCCCCTTTTGGTGACCACGAGTCTGCCACCTGCACTCGGTCCTACGCTTGCTCAGTGAAAAGCTGCAGATGCGGTACATCTGGAATCGACCTCACCAAGCCTGAGCCCGACCCTGAGCCCAAGCCCAAAGCCACCGCTCCTGGGTCCTGCCACTGCTTCACAGGTGGTTCCACCTGTGCCTTTATTTCTTCTTCGTCTTCAAAGGTCGGTACCCTTTGTGCGCACTGTGCGAGCGATGATGTCTCAAGTATTGGCGATGCGACTGATGATAACAATATTGTTGAGGATGATGATGTTTCTGATGGTGGTTCAACTGATGATTTTTATCGTGGATCGCCTCGTGAGTCTTGAGGAATTTTTCATTATTTGAGTGCCATTCCTGACCATTAGTGGTCTGAAGATGGGCTGTATGGTGGTTACGATGATTGGGAGACTTAGAGAGATGCGAATGGGCTAGACTAGGTCAAATCGAAAGTCAATGAAAAAATGTTTTATCGATAACAAATGTTTATTTTTTTCCAGACGTGCTGGAAAAAAAGATCTTGTGAATCAAAAAAAATTCTGAAGTGAATCAAAAAATTAAGTGCAACACGTCAGATTCACATCATAATCTAGACCGATTCAAGTCCAGTCTTCATTGCAAATCTTTGAATGGCATCCTTATCCAGAAGCAGTTGGTCTTCTCGTAAGACAATGTCATTAATTTGCCAGCCCATTCCTGAACCACCACCATCAATGTTTACAGATATTTTGCAGAAAAAACTAAAAACGATGCAAGAATTGTTCGAAGTGACGATGTCACTCATTTTGTGTATTTTAATCGTGTATGGAATCGGAATGACTTTGAAAAGATGTCATTGGGAAGAAATCAAGCCATAGATAGGAAAACGACCCAAGTTTGTACTTGTTCTGTAATATGATAAGAATTGTTGTAAAAAATATATTTATTGAAATGCTCCCCAATTGATGATTGTTATTGAAAATATATCAGAATTTCTTTATCTCTCTAATAAACTGGGTACTAAATGCACACTGTGGGGCTCGAACTCAAGCATCTTTTGATACTGGATCTTGAGTACAGCGCCTTAAACCACTCCGGCAAGTGTGCACCGATGCAACCACAGAACACGGAGATAAAGATGATCATGAAATGTGTGTGATTTTTCCAATCCAATTTATCGATAAATACAGTTAAAAACATGCTTTCTAAATTGGAAGAAGATGATTATGATTCTCGATTATGATAATGAATCTTGTGTGATTTTTTTAATTCATATATTGATAGATGCTGTTGAAAAACATCATGAGTCTCGAAAATGATGATGAATTGTGTGTGTTTTTTTCAATTCCATTTATTGATAGATACAATTGAAAAACACCATTATGATTCTCGAAGATGATGATGAATTGTGAGTGATTTTTTCAATTCCATTTATCGATAGATACAATTGAAAAACATAAATATGATTCTCAAAGATGATGATGAATTGTGTGTGATTTTTTCAATTCCATTTATTGATAGATACAATTGAAAAAACATCATTATGATTCTCGAAGATGATGATGAATTGTGTGTGTTTTTTTCAATTCCATTTATCGATAGATACAATCGAAAAACATCATCGTGATTCTCGAAGATGATGATGAATTATGTGTAATTTTTTTAATTCCATTTAAGTTTTCCAAAAAATGTTGAATGTTGAATGTTGAATGTAGAAGATGTTGAATGATGATCTAGATGCGAAAACGTCAAATTCGATTTCTCCCATGTTTGAATTGAATATATTTTTTTTATTGTTTTTGTTGTTGTTTTTTTTATTTTAGTTATTTCTGAAAAAAGAACGAAAGAATGAAATCTTGTAAACATGGTAACGTATTGACTCCCATTACATGGCATAAATGGATAAAAAAGAATAATATATTACCACGGTAACGAATGGACAGCATCTAAGAAACACACGGAAACGGAACCATGGCAAGTCCCATAACCACGGTAAGGAAACGGAACCACGGGACGCGACCGGTTACGTTACCCTGGCGCGGACTTGTCAAACAATTTGTCGAAAGAATTAAAAAAGAATATGTCAAAAGAAAGAAAAGAATGATTCGAAAGAATGAAAAGAATTCGAAAGAATCTAATGAATGTAATGAAAGAGAAACAACTTGATTCAACATGACCAGCAGCGAGAACATAAACAGGGGAGAGATGTGGGAGTCCCTTGAAAAAAACACCATTTAGCCATGTAGAATAAAAGGATCACGGTTTCTTGCCACCAGGAACAATAGGGTCAAAACGGGCGCCAAGATAAACAGCACCAGGAGGGATGCGAGTACCGCTGGGGTCTGCGAGCGGCGGGGTGAACCTGCGTAGACCGAAAATTGAGTGTTTAGGACCAACGTAGATGCCGTCCCCTCAGATACCCGGGTTGGCGATGGGGTCAAGGTCGGCGTCCCCGATATTGTCAGGGTGCGCGCGCTGGTCTCGTTGAATGTGGGCGTAGAGGTGGTGGATTTGAATGCTCGGGTCGCATAGTGAGTTAGACGGGGGATTCGCGTGAGCAGACAATGGCGTGCATGTAGATCTGTTGCCGCTGCTGCAAATAGGATAGGAAATGAAGTAAATTTAAAAGAAAAACGCTGTGATAATAAGGGATATGTGGTTGGTTCTGGGAATGAGTGCAGGTCACTCTTATTTGAGAATCAGATATGAGGGGAAAAAAGTTAACAAAACTCAACCAAGAAAAGGAAAAAAGGCATATCATTCAGAAGAGGAAAAAAGGCACAACATTCATAAAAATAAGGAAAATATCTTGAAATTAGTTATCGATGAATGGTTAAAATAAACAAAATAAGAAATATTGATAACCAATTGACTCCTTGTTACAATATGTTCATGAAAAGAAGTTGATATTTGAACCTTTTTTATCGGTAAACGGTTCAAAATAAAAAACAATGCTGATAACCACTTGACTCCTTGTTACAATATGTTCATGAGGATGAACCTTGTTTATCGGTAAACAGTTCAAAATAAATAAAAAAAGTAAATGCTGATAACCAAATGACTCCTTGTTACAATATGTTCATGAGGAGAAGTTATTTGAACCTTTTTGTGAAATAGACAACATTTGTATTTTTTGTTTGCCAAAGAGTCAAAGTGTCAAATAATCTTCGTACTGCAATCAATGGGTCGCCTCATTTTGAATATTGAATGTTGTAACAAATGTGACAAAAAACGTTGGAATGTAATAACAAAAAGTGTCAGATTGTAACAACTGAAAAAAGTCGGAAGGTAGCAACAAACGTTGAAATGAAACACCAAAAATGTGAACAAAATAGTGTATAACGTATTGACTCCCTAAATGGAATAAATTGATTAAAATTGTAACAAAATGGAACCCTGAAGAACAAATAAACCAAGTGCATATTATTTTACAGACAAACATGTGTTTGTGAAAGACAAGAAATCCTCCTTTACTTGAAGGAAACCCGAGCCCCCCCTTTTAAAAATGGGCCGCGAATCGCAATCGAGTGGCATATAAAAAACATGCTTCAACTCATCCAACAACAATCGCTGCCTTGTGGGAATTTCGGGCGAGCTGTTGTCCCCGTGGTGAAAATGATTGTTACTCATGAATTCATAATTCAAAGGTTTGTGTGGATTGGCCTTCACAAATTCATAAGTAAGATTTGGATTTAAAACTCAAGCCGTTATAATCCCACGGCTTGTCTGCATTCTTCTGGACAATATCCATTGTGATGTTGGGATTCATACTCAACCAAAAATAATCCCATGGCTTATCTGGATTTGCATTGATAATTTCCATGGTCATATTTTGATTAGCAATCAACATGGCATAAGACCAAGATTTGTCTGGATTCGCATTAACCATCTCAATCGTAAGGTCCAGATTTTCGCACATACTACCATAACACCATTTAATCTGTGGATTCGCATTCACAAAATTCATCGTAATGGTCGAATTGAAACTCAAGTCACCCCAAGCCCATTTCTTGAACCCAATCGTAATGTTCATATTCAAACTCAAACCGCCATAATCCCATGGCTTTTCTGGGTTTGCTTCAATGATATCAATCGTAACATTCGGATTAAAAGCCAAATATACATAATTCCATGGCTTATCCGGATTCGCATTTACGTCTTCCATTGTAATATTATTATGGAAACTCAAGAACTCATCGTACCATGGCTTATATCGGGTGATAATGCCATGGCTTCTCTGGATATGCATTGACGTTTTCTATTGTAATTTTTGGATCCTGATCCAAAAAGGCATAATCCCATGGCCTGTTAGGATTCGCTTTGATAAATTTCATCTTGGTGTTGGAATTTTTACTCAATTGTGAATAATCCCGTGTCTTTTCTGGATGGGCATTGTATATCAGTTCCAATTCGTTTGACATGTTTTGTTGGAAGGAGAAAATGGATTTAGAGGAAGATATTTGTAAAATGTGTGGTTGCGGGGGGGAGGGGTGGGGGATGTATTTTCAAGAGTCAATTATAACTTTTTTGACAACATCTTGTAGCGAAATTCCATGATTGGTGCAAATAAAAATATCATGCTGAATGGTAATGATCAATGCAGTTTTTAGAGCGGGAAACACGCGCATTTGGATTAGGAATCGTTAAAGGTTATGATTAAAAAAACATGAAAACTATTCGAATTCGATGAAAACTATCGTATTGGATGAGGAAAACTATTCGATGAAGAAAACTATTCGTATTCGATTAAACCTAGTTGTATTCGATAAAAGGACCATTCGTATTCGATGAAAAATATTCATATTCGGTGAAGAAAAAAATGTCCCATTGTTGTAATTGTTTTCTTGCAATAATTCGGTATCGATAAACATTTTCGTTTCGGCATCTCTTCAGGAATATGATCTAATGTACAAATGTAAATATATTTTTCTTCAACGACTAAACAGTTTTGTCACTTAGGGACGAAGAGAAAGAGAAGTCGGATTGCGAGAAAAATGTAGTTTATCGATAAGATGAAAAAAAAGTGTACAACAAAGCTCGAAATGTTGAATGTGGAAAGGTAACAACAAAAGTGTACAAATCTAACAAATTTTCAAATGTAACAACAAGATGTTGATTCTTTTATAGACAAATATGTGTTTGTCAAGAACATGAATTCTTCCATTCCTTCCCGAAAACCAAAACCCCCCCTTTTAAAAATGGGTTGCGAATCGCAATCAGGCGGCATATCAAAAATATGATTCAACTCATCCAACAACGAACGCTGCCTTGTGGAAATGACAGGCAAGTGGTTCTACCCGTGGTGAAAATAATTCAGACTCAAATAAACTCAATCCCATGGCTTGTCTGCATTGGTCATGAAAAATTCGTAAGATTTGGATTGCTACTCAAATCGCTATAATCCCATGGCTTGTCTGGATTCTTATTGACAATAACCATCGTGATGTTTGGATCCGCACTCAAACCGAAATAATCCCATGGCTTATCTGGATTTGCATTCACTATCACCATCGCGGTATTCCGATTCAGACTCAAAGAACTCCAATCCCATGGCTTATCTGGATTCGCATTCACTATCTCCATCGTGATGTTCCGAAGCAGACTTAGAAAACTCCAATTCCATGGCCTGTCTGAATTCGCATAGACAAAGTCCATGGTTATATTTGGATTACCAGACATTTTGGCAGTGATTTATCAATAAATAATATGAAAACCATTCCGTGAAAACCATTCGTATTCGATGAAGAAAGCTTTTCAACGAAAACTATCTGTACTCGATGTTAATTATTGGTATTTGACGAAGAAAACTATTAGATGAAAACTATTCGTATTCGATGGAAACTATTGGTATTCGATGAAGAAAACTACTGGGTAAAGAAAAATGTGTCCCATTGTTGTAATTTTTTGTTGCAATAATTCGGAATCAATAAACTTCTTATTGATTTCGGCATCTCTTCACAAATATGATCGAATGTACAAATGTGAATATATTTTTCTTCAACGAATAAACAGTTTTGTCTCTTAGCGAAGAGGAGAAAAAGATGTTGGATTGCGAGATAAAAGTATTTTATCGATACGTTTTTCAAAAAGAAAGTTTACAACGAAGT